GGGGGGGGCAGGTTAATTTAAAAAAAACATGGTTAGAGAGCAGGAAAGGGGATAAAAGAAGAAGATTTAAGAGAAGAAAATTGTCCGTCACTATCAGGTTTCGAACCCGGGACCTATCGAATGAGAGGCGAACGCCGTACCTCTAGACCATGAGCGCCCCGGACATTTAAGCACAGGTCACGGTCTTTAAAAAAAAGATATTCCAAAGAAGTGGATTTTTTGGGTCTACTCTGTCGGAAAGATTTTTTTTAAACGGGGGATGTAGGGAATGGGATAGGGTGGGAAGGAAAGTCAGATAAAAGAAGTTAAATGCTAATCTTTTTTCGGAAGATAATTTCTCATGAAAGATAAAACAAGAAAGACAAACACAAGCACAAAGCTGAGGGGTTCAGAAATAATGCAACAGATGCTGAGTAATAAAATTCTGTGTTAATTCCCCGGGGAGGGGGCGAGGGGAGGGGAATCAAACTGACAGGTGGGTCGAGAAGTCATGGAGATCGTGGTTGGGCGGGGGGGGGGGATTTCAGGATCCAACTTTCAGGACATGGGGGGGCCGAATTCCATTAATTCCATTGCGCCTGATGATGTAATGAAGAGGGTAGATGGGGGGGTGGGGTGAATCAAAGACAGCTCTTTTTTTTGCACAGAAACTGTAAAATTTTAGACTTGAAACTTTTATTGATGAGCCAGAGCATTATTTTTAATTATAGAGGAATCAGTATTTTGTGTCCAGTCATTAGCTCAATATGTTGCTGCTTAAATGTAGTTTTAACCTGAAGTGCAACAGTATGATGGTATAGCAATCACTGGCACCTGTGGTGTAATGATTAGGCTCTTCACTGTTGCATGTTGAAGATGTGAGTTCGATTCCTGAAAAAGGCACAAAATAACTAAATAAGTGCCTATTACTACTGTAGGCTACAGTAATAGATGGTCCAGAGTGCACATTCAGTTTCCGAGTTTGGAGATTAAACCGTTTGGAGATGACTTTCGTAGTGTAATATCTTCTTCTTTGCATTTGCCTGCTAGATGTCAAGGGTAGCTTCAACCTGCAGTGCAACTGATTTTTATGTATGTGACCGCTTTTCCTACTTCGTAGAGCTCTTTGCTTTCAGGCAGCCACATTCCAATTTCAAAGGAATTCAAAATGTAATTCCTGTTAAAATTGAAAATACGCTGGTCAGTACGAAAGGATTTTACAGTCCCCAAATAAACTTCTTTGCACTGTTATTAGTTATCTATTGACTGCCCTGAAAATGTTCATGCTGATGATATGAATTTGTAGTCTAAATTTTGATGACAAATTTTGTGACTTTCTTTTCAGACATGGATGAAGAAGCCCAGCAGACTCAAAGAAGGAACAATGAGATGAATATTAAGCTGTGAGTTAATTCCTACTTAAATCTGATATAAGCCTTTCTGAATGCAATGATATTAGCATTATGCTCTGATTTGGGTTCTGTGGAGTAGCTGATAGCAGTACATTTTATTATAAAATGTTCAATTTGATGACTGACTTTTCAGTTCGCATCGGATAGTGGTTGCAAACAGCCTCCCTTATGACAATGTTGAATAGTGTTTGAAGATTTATAGTAAATAGATTATTATAAGTAGTTCTTGGTAATGAGGAAAACAACAGAGGATGCATCAAGAGGTATAAGGTGTACCCAGGGATGCCACTTTTCCGCTTTTTTCCGGTATTTCCGGTATTTTGATCCTGATCCGCTATTCCGTTTTTGAGATCGAGATAAAATCTATTGTTGGAAAAAAAAACCCACGCACACACAAAAACTTGTGCCAAAATTTCTCTCTATTTACGCCCTTTGGGTTTCAAATTGATATTCATTCTTATGTTAACGAGACCGTGGCGCGTGGATTTTCAGCTATTTTCAAAAAAGTTGAGTGGCTTCCCTGTGTACCCTCTTCTCCACCCTTGAGGATCTTGATTTTGCCGACGACCTTGCACTACTCTCTCATACCAACCAGCACATGCAGGAAAAAAAACCCCCGACTCCACAAATACGGACGCCAGATTGGATTCAAAGTAAGCCAGAAGAAAACCGAAGTGATGACACTGAATGTAGGCTCCCCAACACTGATTAGGGTGAACAACGCAGACCTACCCATAACAGACAAATTTACCTACCTGGGCAGCATAATTAAAACTGACGGCGACACAAAGGAGGACATCATGAACAGACTCGGCAAGGCAAGATCTGTACACAGATGCCTGATCAACATCTGGAAATCGGGACAGTTCAGTATACAGACCAGGTTATACTATCCACACTCCTATATGGGTCTGAATGCTGGAGGATGACTGATCATGGTCGTTCAAAGTTATCTTCTTTTCATACAACCAGCGTACGCCAAATCCTCCAAATCTTCTAGCTCTACAAGATTTCCAATGCAGATCTTTTACGGAAATGTAGGCAAGAGGACATGACCAACATAATAACAAGGAGAAGATGGAGATGGATTGGGTGACATTCTCTGAGAAGAGAATCAGACTGTATTGTAAAGACTGCCCTCCACTGGACACCCGAAGGACATCGCAAGAGGGGCAGACCCAAAGTGATCTGGAGACGCACAGTAGAGTCTGAAATTAAGTCCTGGAACCATTCGTGGGGGACTTTGACCGAGATGGCCCAAAACAGACAAAGCTGGAGATTCTTTGTTGCTGCCCTAAACGCCTGATGGCATGACGGGTATTAAGTAAGTAAGTAGCTCTTTGTGTGAATGAGATTGTATATCACCTCTCATTTCTATTTTTGTTGATAATGTTTTAATGTTATAGATCCCAGCACATGATTCTCAGCTGCTGGTGTAATTTCTGATTTCCTGTTTTCTGTATTTGTTTGTAATGAACTTTACTTTCTTTGGAGAGACCAACCTATTGGAAACTGCAAATTTACATTTTTTAGGCTTTTGATCAACATTTTTCTGTAAAATCCACACAGAAATGTGTTCTTAAATGGACATACAGAAGGTACTGAGCCCCCCCCCCCAAAAAAATTTCTAAAAATTTGCTTGATGGCCAGAAAAATGTCGGTTGTTTTCATTATTTTGACGAGCACATGATTTCACCAAGCTGCCTCACATTTATTTCCTTCTTTATTTGTTAACTTTTGCTCTTTGCTATTGTTTATTTGTTGTTATTATTTGTTATTTCAGTTAAACAGGGTAATTATTGTATTTCTCTGTAAAACTTTTTCGTCATAATTTTGTTCAGGCTATAAATTCCTTTCTACAAGCTATGTTTCTGGTTGTCATTTTTTATATTTATTCCAAATATAAGCCCACGTGGGTTGCTCTGATAGAAACAATCAGGAAAAGACAAAAATGCAGTTTTTGGGACACGTGAATAGACATAAGGTCTTGACTATCTTGCTCTCATTGGCAAAACTGAATGCTAACAAGGCAGGCCCCGAGCAACGTACTTGAAGAACCTAAAAAGATGGGTGACATGGAAAGATCAGGGTAATATAGCCTTTTTAAAGAGCATCTGAGCAAAGGAATGAATGGAGAACCATGATCCCCGATGTCTGTCTACAGATCTGGCATTTCTGTCTACAGATCTGGCATTTGATGATGATGATGTTTACCCTATGATTTCTATTTTCATTTTTCACATCGTCGGCCTTGTGATAAAACCGACCAACCCACAAAATATTTTTAAAAATTTTATGGCCCTATCAATAGTAAATTGGCCATTTCATATGCTCTCTCAAAGACAGATCTGAGTTTTGTCTAGAAATGTCTTTAAAACATTAGAAATAAAACCGTATAACCCGGCACCCATCGGATTTTAGCCCGATAATTCAGACTATCCCACCTGCGAGGGAGGGAATGAGGGTTGGCTGTTTTTGTTGCGCTAACAATGAGAGGTTTCATGCTAAGTTACTGACTAACCCGGCCTTCGACCTGTCTGCGGACTTGGTTTGACATCAGATTTACATTTTCGATAGTCCAGCATTTGCTGACGTAACCGTGGGAGCTCTCCGAAAAGGTATGTTTGTGTGATATTTTTTGTTGGTTTCAATGGGGAGTTATTTAGATCTAGTCGTTTCCTCTTCTTTCTTCGTTTATAATGCTGCTGGTAATGTTATTAATGACAAAAACTCCCCACTGTTCCCACAGTAATGTGTTTGTCTCTTGACAATGCTGGTATTTCAAATGCATCTTTATGAATTGTGTTTTATATGACACTATTTTTTTTCTGTCCGCGTGTTCTTCCCTGTCTTTGTACTGGAAAGTCCCCGAATTGTGAAGGCATTTTCCCCTATTGGGATGACTGTCTTGTCTCCTAATCATTACTTAAAAAAAAAATTGAATGGACGAAGTCGATAGCATTTCATTTTTGTGGGTGGTTGGTGGGTGCTCTGGTGTGGTTTGCTTCTTCTTTCCTTTCAAACATCTATCGTCCTTATCTCCCCTTTTTCTTTTTTATGTTTGTTACTCTCTTGAAACACCTCTAATCTTCTGGCGCTTGTATGACCTTATGCAGTTGCGTGCGCTGTAAAACCTCTACTAGAACTAATTTTACTTTTTACTAACTCACTCAGAAAAAAAAGTTGTGGGACCACACCCGTCCGCCCCCAACGATCATTATTGTTTTAAATGCTTCTTTTTTTTTTTCATTTGCAGTGTTTATTGCAGTCATTGCCTTCTGAAATATCTTTCTACTTTCTTTGAAAGTTCGTTTTGTTTGTGTTTTGTATAGATTATTTTCTCTGTGTCATATAATGCATTATTCTCATAGCAATTCTTAACTTACATAACGCTATAACATTCCATCAGATGATGCCACGATTGCTGTGTCACCTCTCACCTTCAGCACAGTAGAAAGTGGTTGAAGTGACCAGGCTAATGTCACACCAGCTGATGACACAACCATTACGCCATCTTTGATCTCTGCCAAAAGGACACGGAATGAAAACGAATGGAAGGGTAACAAAAAGAAGAGATTGAAAGAACTGGGAATGCCTCAACATATTTCAAGGTATAAAGCGAGCAGGGCGTGAATTTAACATCTGTTGCAATTGTAAACTGGTTAGTACAAAATGCAATAACATCACTGATCACTCTCTTGGAAGGAAAAGTCAGCTGACGTATGCTATTATAAACAGGATAGACAAAAAGAGATTTTGCTCTGCAAGTGAAAACCCAAGAAGAAATTACACCTTTCAATACCACTTTAAAAAAAGGTCAACGGTCGAAGAATTCCTGTTTGTAAAACAATGTTCACGAACACTGCTGGCCTGACCCACTTGCTTATTTAAAGTGTCTTCTCTGAAAAACGAACAAAAGCCCCCCAAGAACAAATCATGCCCACCAGGAGTAGGCCAAGGATGACAAGTTTCAGCCTTTTTTCTGCTACTCCTTGGCTCCTTCTTACTGCTGTCTTTCAGCCACACCCCTGATCTTCTGGTAGGAAAAATCTACACCTGGCCTTCTCGGACAAGGGCGAAAAATCTCGGAGGTCCCGTGTACAAGTTGCGCCCGTTAATGATCCCTTTGTCGTTTAAAATCGATAAGAGTAGGCTTCGGTCGCCACCCAGGTAAAATTCAAAATTTCCTACTGACTGAAAATGTTTAGTGTGTCCTGCGCGCTCATATGACCTTCTGCAGTTGCGAGCGCCGTAAAACATTAAAATAAATAAATAAATAAAAAAAGGTGATAAGTTGTTCCATAAGGAAGAATTTTTTGACAAACTTTCGAAGATGCTCTCATATTACTATTGCAAGTAAACAACAAAATTGTGTCTGCAGATGACATTCCAGAACATGTCAGATCTGCATCGAGTATACATGGACAAATGTGCAGAGAGGCAGAAAAAAACATGGAGAAAACCTTTAGCTATCGAGTGTTCTGCCAAGCGTTCAAGAAAAACAATTTGGGTTTATTTTCAACCAAGAAAGACCAGTGCGACATTTGATGACAATGATGACAGTGACAATCTTTATTCATCTCGCAGGGAGAAATTTGTCTTGGTCGTTAACAATGGCAGTAGACGTTACAAAAGTTAGACTTAAAGGTGCACTCACGCAAACGCACAACAAGACAGGACATTATGCCAAGTAAATACATGTCTCACGGGCTGGGACAACCCGCTCCGTAACACATTCATTCTCTCTCTCTCTCTCTGTTTCATTTGTAGCACTGTGTGTTCAGTAACCTCACTGCAGTTGGTACGAATGAATTTCTATATCTGTCTGTTCTTGCTTTTTTGGAAATGTATCGTTTACTGCGGGTCGATAGTTGAAATTCCGATGTCAGTGGGTGGCTATGGTCACTAAGCATTATTTCCGCCTTTTTTAGAACGTTTGTCTTGTGCAGATATTCAAAGTTACTTAGGTCTTACCAATTGTTCTTGATGCCTTTTTTAATCAACTTATTTAGTTTTATAATGTGCTGCCTTCCCAGATTGCTACCATAGCAAGTGATTCCAAAATTTATCAAAGTTTCTATTGTGGTGGTGTAGAAAATCTGAAGGATGGATGGATTCAGATTGAAAGACTTTAGTTTCCTCAGAAACTATACACAAGTTTACTGTTTATGACCTTGCCACCAGAGACGAAAGATAGTATGTCTGGGATGGAAGTGAAGGTGGTCTGAGCTCCAGCAGTTTTCATCATGTCTGATTCACTACCTCAGCAGATCACGAACGACTGACTTCAACCATTTCATCCTCTACAGTGATGGGTGCTATTACCTAAACAGAAATGGCGTCCTGGCGAGTGCAATGGCCACGCTGGCCAAAGAGCCTGACATCACAATTGAGCAGAAATTCCTCACCAGCGGCCGTTCTCAAATGGAGGTGGATTCAGCCCATGGCGTTATTGAGCTAAAAAACGCACTGGTTTACATCCCAGTGGAATACATGAACGTCATGCTCAAAGCCAGACGTATCCCCAGGCCCTATGAAGTTATGTACCTGGACCACAGCTTTTTCAAAGATGTCTCAAAGGTCGGAGAGTACAAAACGATCTGCTCAGAGAGAAAAGCGAGGGACTGTACTCTCTTGCAGGCATCAAAGTACACTCCAGACTTTAAAATTCAGTACAGGCTTTGATGTTGAATGGCAGGCGCTGCCAGGAACAAGAAAGATGAACACCCTATGTGTATCAGTTACTGTTGGACTTCTCTCAAAGACAGATAAAAGAGAACTGCCAGCAAGTATAAAGCATCTACTGGAGTTAAAGGCTGTCATACCACTATGCTACCACAATTATTATGACACAGCGCTTCAGTAAGAAGTTTTGAAAGCTATTAAGTCAAATTCGATTGGTGTAGAGTATTTCACAACAGTGGTTACTTTTTGTCGTATTGCCTTGTTATAGCCACAGGACATAGAGTAGTGAGACAGACGTGGTCTTCTATTGTTGAGAAAACTCAATAAAGTAGTTGTTGTCAGGCCATGCTCCTTGAAGAAAGTTGGCATGTACTTACAAAGTCTTTTTGTATAATAACGATGTATTATTATTATGTAACCTACTTCACTGAAACAATTGCTGAGGTAGCGGGGCTTTTATGTGGCTTTCTGCTTTCTTTTCTTTCTAAGCATTACTTTTTTCAGGCATTTGAATGACCACTCAGTGGCAATAGTACCGTGTCAGACACTGTCGTAAATTCTAAAGGCCTGCTGCTGCTGCTTCTGTTGTTGTTGTTGTTGTTGAAGCTGCTCTCCCTTACCCTTCGAACCTCCTGTTCTTCTATTTCAAATGTAGTTATTAGAGCCATTGCTGTGTTCTGCTTCCTGTACTTTTATTTCTAGTAAATGTTCAACTTTGTGACTGCTGTTTTGCCCGAATTGAATCCCTCGCACTGAAATGACTGCGGCTGATAGTATGATAGCAATAGAATCCTCCTCCTCCTCTTCCTCTCTCTCCTTTTTTTTCTTTTTACTTTTCCTCCTCCTCATTTTCGTTTTTCTCCTTATCCCCCTCCCCCTTCCACTTTCCCCTCCTCTTCTTCTTCTTCTTCTTCTTCTTCTCCTTCTCCTTCTCCTTCTCCTTCTTCTTCTTCTTCTTCTTCTTCTTCTTCTTCTTCTTCTTCTTCTTCATCTTTCTTTTTCTTCTTCTTCTTCCTCTTCCTCTTCCTCTTCCTCTTCTTCTTCTTCTTCTTCTTCTTCTTCTTCTTCTTCTTCTTCTTTTTCTTCTTCTTCTTTTTCTTCTTGTCCTCTTCCTCCTCCTCGTCCTCGTCCTCCTCTTTCTTCTACTTCTTCTTTTTTTTCGATTGAAACAACAGGTCAGATAAGTTACCTGCAAGTGCGACTTGTCTGCACTCAAGGCCAGCAGCAGCTTCCTGATAAAACAGACCAACCCACAAAATTTAGGGTTGATCGGTTGTATCCGGAACAATTTCAGCAACATAATGGTCCAACCCACACAGTTTCATTAAAAATGATTTTTTAAGGAAAAAAGGTCTACAGTTTTTCGATTAAGTGTTTTTACAGAGTGTTTAAAGCATTTATTGATCGTTAGACATTGTTGTTTGGAAATAAAAAAATTTTCTGTCTCCTATAAAATTTACCGCGTTGGGGTAAGTCACATCTGTGGTGTTGTAAGGATTTTTGCCTTGCATTTTAAAGAAACGTATGTGAGTTTGATTTCATTTTGGGGAAGTTCATTTTTCTGAGTGTCTCCGCTTTTTAGCTGGAACTTATCCCTTCCGTGGGTGGTTGGCGGATGCTCTTACAGTGTGGTCTATTCCTCCTTTCCTATCAAACATCTATTGTCCGTATCTCTCCTCCTTCTTTCTTGTTTTTATGACTCTCTTTTAACACCTAATCTTAGCACATTTTTTAACAAATTGTGTAGCAAGTGCTATAAACCTCTTGCTAAATCAAAAATATCCCTTCCAGCCACATGTGGCCCAGACAAACAGGGGTTGAAGTGGTCGGTATGGTACATGATTGAAATTGTATCAAGGATAGGTTTGTAAAACATTTTTGTTGATTTGTTTCTGACTTCAGGGATGAGATGGGTCTGGTGGAACTGATCTCTGGCTCTGCGGTGACGGAGATTGTGCACAGCCAGATAGAGCAGCACATTCAGGAGGAGTGCAAGGGGACTTTTGACACGTCGTTTATCTCTGAGTTGGAGGAGGTATGATAGGCTGTTTTATGAATTGTGGCTGCTTTTGTGAAGTTGCAGCATAAACCTGCCTCAGCTATAGCTTGTTCACTTTCGTCTGCCCGGGGTTAAAACAAGCTGAAATGAAATGGCTTTGTTTAATCTTCTCTGATCTTTGCGTATGGGTTTAAAAATTGGGTGACCAACCGAATCTTAAATCCCATACAGGTTTTTTTTTGTAAGTGGTCTACGGTGCACGCAACTGCACATGGTCATATGAGCACGCGGGAAACATTTAAACATTTTCAGTTGGTAGGAAATTTTGAATTTTACCTGGGTGGCGGCCGAAGCCTACTCTTATCGATTTTGGACCACCAAGGGATCTTTTAAAAAAAGTCAACTTTTTATTCTCTCTCTCTTTTCTTCTTCTATCTCTCACTTCTTTTTCTCATACTCTTACTTGTGCACACTCGCACACTTACACAATGGCACTCCCTCACTTGCCCTTGTCTGTGTTAACAGAATGTCTCCCTTCAGTTGCCCTCAGGTCAAGCGTATATGTGAGGCATCATGGTTAATTGACGCACTTGTAAAGAAATTATGAAAATGAAGAAAACTGCCTTTTTCGCGATGTGGCAATTTCTTATCAAATTTTTTTTTGGGGGGCTCATCTTTTATGTTCATTTAGAAATACATTTCTGTCTGGATTTTACTGAAAAAACGTTGATAAATGCCACAAAAAGTGTACATTTTCTATTTTTGAGGACTCATAAGGAAGTCACAACACTTTGGTGGCCATTTTCTCGCTAATTTTATCTCTGAAACCAAGTGACCCTTACCTTTTTCTATCGCAGATATCTTGACTTCTAATCAGGATAGATTGATCTTTTTTTCGTTGAAAGCAAGACAAATGAAAAAGTTAAGAAGATACCAATAACTCCACATGGCTAAACACTGACGAGCGCTTGATTCCACCGCGTCATGACACTTATTTTTCTGCATGTTTTATTTATTCCCACTCCCTGCTGTAGTGGCTTGACAACCACATTCTGGGCTGGCTAAAACAAATGTATGCGGGGAGACAGACGGCTTCACAGCTGGCGGGCGTCGATGCCTTCCGCGACCGCCTCCGACATTACATCTATGAAACCTATGCAAAGTCCCTGATAAGTCAGTTTTTTGACATCATCATCGACTACCCAGACTCGAAGCCGGCCATTATTGACTTGACAGAATGCTTGCAGAAAACTGACCTTCGATCAGAACTTGTGACTACCCTGAGGAGTGCTCTTGAAAACAGGCTTCTTCATCCTGGTAAGAGCATGACTTTTTATTTGTCCATTTTGATCTTGAGTGCTCTTTTTTATTAGCAGATTGTCAAGACAGGGGTAAACAGTTACTCACAGTATTTCTTGATATTAAATAGTCATGGGGGGGAGATGTGTGTGTGTGGTGGGGAGGGTGTTATTTCTGAATTAGTTCTCGAGGTCAGCTACTACTCATTTTAACACAAATGAGAAGAAGGACAGTTCTCTTTAAAAACTAGGTGATTAAAAGCTGGCATTGGTAGGTTCTACTTCTTCAGTGTTCTTTTGCTTTATCGAAGTGTTTGTCTCACTTGCGTGCTATGAATGTATACTTTTGTGTGGCAGAAGCTGGTGAAAATACACTTTTGATCCCTGATGGCTCGATGCTGTTATGCTTAAATTGTGTAACTAGAAGACAAAGGTCAATTCTTACATTTGTTTTGAAACCATCGTCGAGGTTCGTCTGTGGGTCTTCATTGAAAGCCAGACAAATAGTATAAAAGTTACGGAAAGGTGTCTTTTTTCATAAAGTCAAAGGTTTAGAGTGTTAGAGTGTAAAACCACTGATATGTTACATTACTGAAATGATATGGCGATAATGAAGTGCTTCCCTTTGGGAAGTACCGTGACCCTCCAGTTTATGAGTCGAAGGTAAAAGTTGAAGAATTAAACAAGTTTCCACTCGGAGAAGTTAATGATGTGAGTTACTGGCAGACACGTAACTCGGAAATGTAGGACAATTACAGTTTGTTGCGTGTGACCTGCAGATCATGTTTGGGTTTTCGTTCTTTTTTCTTTTTTTTTTTTTTGCCTCCAGGTGTCAATACAGCTGATATCCTGACAGCATACATCGCAGCAATCAAGTCCTTGAGGTTACTCGAGCCAGCAGGAGTTATTTTGGAGCTGGTTTGCGAGCCTGTCAGTCGATATCTGAGGTACCCCCAGTCCAACCTGTTTTTTGTAATAATTTTATATGATTTACGACCCCTTTGGCATAAGTAAGTCTGTTAAGGAGTAGGCTGTTTGTACCCTTATTATAGGGCTGCAGGGGTGTATGCAGTGCTTCCAATCTTCTGTATTTTTATGGAAGTCCATACTTTCTAACAGATTGGTACTTGCTCCCCAATCGTTATCAACTCTGTCTGTAAAAAAATGTGATAGCGTCGGGATACCAAAATTCCACGGCAAAGGATCCGTACTCGACTTGGTATCGTCTTGTATAAGTTCCAGATATTTACAGTAGGCTAGGCAAATTCTTTTGGCAATAAGTTAATGTTAAAGAAACCTGCCAGATTGCACATTTCCCGCAATCGGTCATTATCTTGCCGTACATTCATTAGAGGTTAGTCGGCAATACTTTTTAAACTTGTGAATTGATCAAAATCTGGCTAGCCGTGATAGCGAACTTTTTGTGCCAGTTTCCTCCTTTCTTTCATTCACTCTTTCTTTCTGTCTAGCTTCGGATTGTTACCATGGCTGGAGAATATGCGCGTAGCACGGCGTACAAACACCGCTCTTTTAGTTCGCTCGGCGATGGAGTGACCGGGTCACGGCGGGCCAGTCACCCAGAGGTCACTAACCCGACCTCCCGCTACCTACGTCGGTAGCCGGTGAAATGAATTTTTCAACACATGTTTTATCGTCTTGCACAAACAAAAAATATCATACGTGAACACAAGTTTGTTCTTTAGAGAAAGCAACTAAACTTCTTTATTGGTACGAAATATCAATACCATGACAGCTCACGTTTTGGAGTTAGATGCTCTTAAAATGTATGTCTATTTATAGTTAGTCAAAACAACAAACACATATTGAGGGGCTAATAACTTTTAAGCCTAACAATAAATATTTACAAAACTGCCACGTAAGACAGGAAAATGTGTTTAAAAATTGACTCACTCAAAATTTTGTTTCCAGCACGAACATGGAACTTGTCATGAGCATGATAGCCAAAACGCTTCCCTGTATTCATGACGTTTTGTATCCAACGGAATGTGTATCCTCCTGCATAATGATATACTGACGTATCTTCAATATACAGCACCGATTTCTTTTCACAAAATGAACATGTACAGAATAAAAGTATAAATTTAAACAATTTTTCTTTCTAAACATATCCAGCAGCACGCAATGAGGGAGCTATTTGCAGGAGATGCGACACAAAAATAAAATTCATTATGTCTATCTGGTTTGGGATCCTTCGTGATCTGGCTTCCAGTTTTGAGATCGCTTGGTGGCTGCTTTCTGTGTCCTGTTCTCCCAAAAGCCTGAGAGCAAACATGTGTTGTTGTATGTGTGGAATACAGTGTTGCTATGATATGTGTTGCTTTGGGATAACTTTGCGGGGAAATAGCGTCTGAATGCGGCCATAATATGTAATTGTCGATAGCTACGGAGATTTCTGGAAGTGAAAATTGTTTGACTGGTTTGAGATGTGATATATTGATACATGGCTAAATCTTTCATTGAGAAGATTGAATATTGCTTCCAGTCCACTAGCTTCCTCAATTTTTGCAGTTTCGCGGGAGTATTTTCTTGTTTCTGTATAAATTGTGTTTGTTAGTTCCTTGCATACATGGGGATGGAGGGAGGTATGCTTGGGGTGTTTTGCGATGTTTGCTTGAAATGGATCTTTGTATGCAACCACCCAAGCAGTGCCGACAAAACGGAGAAGGAATTCACATTTATGCTATTGTCAAAGCACACCACATGTTCCTACTGGTGTCAACAGCTTTTTTTGCGGCATGAATTGACATGACGTAACACCATATCTCCTTTTGATAGATGAAACCACGGTAAAACACTTGACACAAACGTTAATGGAATACGACTGTTCATTTTCGTCCCTCACATCAATCCCATAAATCAAGAGAATATCTCCTGCCATTGTCTTACATAATCGGGGCTTTCTGTACTTTTTTGTTTGACAGTTAATTTTAAACGCCAACAAACCCGACAAAGTTCATTCAGAGACTCTATGCCTCTCATATGAGTGACCCATTGCAGTTTAACAATTTTTACCTAGGAACACAATTCACTAACTAATTGCCAGTAACTGCAAAGTGCTGGAAAAACAAAATTCACATCATTAGAAAATGATTTGATGGCTATCCGACCGCGCAAACAGAAATAAACTCCATTGTTTCATTTTGGAATGATTTGTAATTAAATTTGAAGAGATCACATTATAAATGGCATTTCCGATCACATAACACTCACAATTTAAAACTTTTCTTATTCCCAAACGAATTAATGAAAGCTGTTGAAACTTTCACAAGATACCAAGAAGACGTAGATGAAGCGAAATTGGTGAAGAAGTAGATTCTAGGAGTAGAGTGAGCATCATTTTACGGCTCATGAAATTCGGGGAAGAAACGCGTTTTGATAAGGAGAAGATAGGACAGCGCTGTGCACGAGTTGATCCCGGTCAATCCCCGACTTGACGCGTGAAATTGCAGGTCACCTGCCGGTGATCTATGGCCTATCCCGGGGGCCCGGACTAACTAAAAGATTGCTGAGACGGAATTTTGGACGCCGTGGTTGATCATGTTAATTGACTTGGGATTTTAGTAAGAAAATCCCTCTCAGAAAGAAACTCTTTTGCAAATTTGTCTAGATCTAGAGAAATTGTCAGTGCAATAATTCTACGAAAGCATGATATAAGGGTCGTGGCGACCGACATTTATGCAAAAACTAAAACAGTAAAAGAACTATTCATAGTGGTGTTCCGAGGTTGTGACAGCCGACATTCAAAAGTGAAAATTAAGTAAAATTTGGGTATTCGTTGGGTAACTCTATACTCTATTTTCAGGGTACATACCTAATCTTTATTCCCAGGTTTGCCTTCCGTCAATGGTGCGATGACAAATCAATTAGATGATAGTAGCAATGTCGAGGGGAACCTGTTTTTTAACATTGCCAACAATGGAAAGATTTGAAGGTGGAGAAATCAAACAAGACAAAATCTTTGTGACAAAATAGGTGTTATGGGTTTTTCGCAATCTCTTCTAACAGGCTCCCACATGTCATTTTCAACCCTAAAAACACTAAATTTCAATTTCTTTGCTGAACCCTCTCCGTGATGCTGTCCCTGGACCCGCGGCAGGATTTTCCTTTCTTTTCAGCTTCTGTTGTTGGAAGCACTGTGTAAGATCTTGTCAGTATGTTAGTGTTTTAGCGCCTATAAATGGCTGCTTGCGCTGTATGCTTCTCAGGAAGTTGAGGTTGTTTCAGAATGCTCTCAGGTCTGCTGGGGTAATAGTATAGATTGTGAAGCGCATAGAGCTTGCTATTGAGCGGGAATTTGTGCTATACAAATGCTATCTATTATTATTATTATTATTATTATTATGGGATACTATTTAGCACAAAAAAACGGTACTGTATAAATTTGTTCCCCCACTTGGGGATTGAGCTCTTGTCTTTCATATGCAAAGCGAAAACGTCAAAGAGTTATGCAGCAGACATTGGTTTGAATTAAGTTGGAAGTGCGAGTTTGTACAGTCTGATTTCTTTTCCTTGTGAAAGCTCACAGCTCTTCATTATTGCCTCCTTGGCGGGTCAGTAAACTACAATTTAACTTCTCAACCCTCTGAAGACATACAGCTTGACAGCCTGTTAGGTGCTCACATCGTCGCCGGCATTCATCTTTGTCGTATGTCAAAATGCAAAATTTTCAAGAGAGGCAAAAAGCTGTTTCATTTCGGACAAGTTCTTGATAAGATAAATATTGCAACATAAAATTACGTTATTTTCTGCGCTGATTTAAAAAATCGAATCAAATTTTAAATACATGAGCTGCTTTCTCTGTTGTACGACATACGACTTTGTTACCTGAAGTTTTCGTCAAGTACAACGTATCAAGGCGACTTACTACAATAATGATGCAATTGAACCCTGTTGTAAGTCGACATACGACAATGATTCTTGACGAAATATTTTTTAAATAAAGAGAACCCGTTATCAATACCTTGTAACATACTACAATAGTCTGCAACTCCAAGAATGTGTAATAGAAATGTGTTAGCCAAACTTAGTAACAATGTGCTGTATTTTCAAGGTTCAAATGGAATAATATTATAAATGGTTTGAGACATAGACCCACTGCTCCGCCAGCAGGAGGTGCAACCCCTTCACTGGCGATTTGTCGCCCATGGACATCTGCGCTCAGGTGCACATGGGCGACACTTGCTTTGGTGTATCGTCTGTCTTCTATCGTCTTTCTTCCTTCTTCTTTCGTCCTTCCCCGAGCTGACCGGGGAATAAAATAAAAATAGTTGGCTGTCCCATCAACAGGGGGTGTAACCCCCCCGCTGGTGGGATGCCACTCGTACGTCACTAGCTCTCTGACGTAGGGGTGGCATCTTTTGTCCGCTCTTGCTATGTCTTCTATCCATCTATCTTTCTTTCCGTTCTGTCGACCGAAGGTCCGGTCCAGCAAAGAATAGACCCCAAACCCCCGCAACGCGAGGCACCCCGTGGACCGTGGGTTGCGACCCGTACGACCGGAGAAGGGGACCCTGGTGGCTGAGGTGTGGCTTTCCTCACCAACACGCCACTTTGGCCCTGGATTCGGTCTAGACGGGCGGGTGCAGTGGCCTATTGCACTCAATCAGTTGCGACTGGTTCATAGAACCGGTGTTGGCCAATCTTGGTTAGAAGGCAAGATTTCTTGCCGTCTGATTGGGAGTATACCTCCAGGGTAGCCCTGACACCAGCTATGGACTTCCGAGCGGTGTCCCCTTGTTGGAATAGGTGGCGGGTGTGGAGCCCTGGAGATGAACAAAAACGTCATATATATATGGATATAAAATCAAAAATTTCTCCCACTACCCCAATTCCCAACGAGTCCCTGTCAGGAGGAGTGGGTGCGAATCCTGACCAGGGCAAAAGAAAACGGTTGAGAGAGGACGACAATATTAGTATCTGGGACCTGCCTAGACAAACATCGCTAGGATGGTCACCTTATTTGGTGATCTCCTCAGCTGATAAGTCTAAAACAAAAGTAACTTCTTTAAGCGTCTTTGCCATTGGCAAAGCTCTCAGAGCCTGTGGCATCCCTAGACCAAAGAAAGTCTCCCCCCAGGGGGTCTGGCGACCTCTTTGTGGAGGTTGCCAACATGGCCGATTCCGTACAATTACGGAAATGTACGTCATGTACGTCGTTTGGCGACATCCCTGTAAGTGTTGAGCCTCACAGGAGTCTCAATACTTCCAGGTGTGTTGTAAAGAGCTGTGACCTAGACGGCTGTACGGAGGAAGAAATGGTGCAAGAAATAGGTGTCACCCACGCTTGTCGTGTCATAGTGTGACGAGATGGGAAAGAGATCCGCACTAACACATGGATACTGTCTTTCGACTGTCCAAGACCTACCAAATTGACGATAGAGTACTTGGAACTAGAGGTAAAACCCTACGTCCCTAACCCAATGCGCTGTTTTTGTTTTTTTTGGCGCTGCTCCTGCGGCGACAAGGTCGTGTTTACATCGGCTCTGCTTGTTTTGGAGCTCTTTTACTGTTTCTGTTTGGACTGTGTGTCTGAAACTTTCCTTATTCCACCATGGAGGTGCAGTGCAGTGTTCGGACTTTTAAGTGCATTTTTTGGTGTATAATTTTATTGACATTTTTCGGTGAAATAAGACCTTTAACAAACTACTCGCCATTTTCCACCATTACGTATAGCCCAGCCATTGAAGGAAACCACCAGAGGACACAGAAATGATATACAGTGGACACAGTTGGACGATCTGGATTTTGCAGACGACTTGGTGCTTCTGTTGCACACCCAGGAACAGATTCAAGCAAAGACCAGTATTAAACAGCCTATCGGAGTCTGTTGGATTGAGGATCCACCCGGGAAAGTCAAAGGTCCTAAGGACAGATGCACAACGAAAGGAGCAGGTCACAATAGAAGGAAAGGCCCTAGAAAACGTTGAATCCTTCTGCTATCTTGGGAGCATAATTGACATAGAGGGAAGAACAGGTGCTGAAATAAAGTCCTGCATTGGAAAAGCACAGGCTGCTTTCATATCTTTGGATATGATTTGGAAGACCACAGATACCTCACTTTGAACAAAGCTGAGGATTTTCTATTTTTAAATGTGAAGTCTGTCCTGTTGTATGGATGTGAGGCATGGAACGCATCACAGACTTGTATAAAGAGGATCCAGGTTTTCTTGAACAGGGGTCTAAGAAAGTTACTGAAGATCAGATGGACAGACAGGGTCACCAATGTGGAAGTGTTAAGGAAAACAAAACAGATCCTAGTCAGAGATGAGGTAGGAAGAAGGCGGTGGCTATGGATTGGACATACTCTCAGGAAGTCAGGCAGCTGCATAACAAAGAAAGTTTTGGATTGGAAACCACAGGGCAAGAGGTCAAGGGGAAGACCTCGTGGAACCTGGAGAAGAATCACAGAAATCGATGTACAGAAAAGTGGGAAGACATGGAATAACATCAAGAGGCTAGCCCAGGATAGAGAAAAGTGGAGGGTGTTTGTCCGTGGCCTATACCCTGGTGCAGGGTGAGAAAGGCAATGATGATGATGATGATGAAAACACCCCCCAAATGATGGAGTATACAAATAAAGAGGCTGTTTGCTTATTCTATTTATCATTATTCAATACATCATTTGAAATATAAGAGTGAAAATCTGTAATCTTATTTCTTATTCAAAATAACATTAGAAATGCAATGTTTGTAAATGATCATGTGTGATGGCCCAGGTCCCGGGAAGACACTGTGCGTTGCATCGTGGCCAGCCTGACGGATGAGGGCAACAATGAGCTGGTGGATGAGTTAGTCAAGATGAAACCAGCTGGGGAGGAGGAGGATGAAGAGGACAACAGCAGTAAGAACTTTGAGGAGTGGATGCCTGATCCCGTGGATGCAGATCCTTGTAAGTCAAGACCTTTATGGAATCGTTTTGTCTCAGGTGAAATGAGTTGAGGTGCAGTAAGGAAGGGAGAGAATTTAGATTTGTATTTCTTTCTTGGTTTCTTCATGGATTTTTCTTGATTATTTGATGTTAATTTGGTTGAAAGTGAAATTAAAGTGAAGAGGGAAGAGAATTTTTTTTTAGCTAACAAAAATGTAGTTCTGATTTTGTTAATTTCCATTAGATTGTTGTTAGGATTTGTTTCTTATTTTAACATCTTTCTGTTGCTTGTGTGCTTGATGAAGATTGACATGTTTTAATCTTCGAAGGTATTTTAATAAAAATGAATACACAAATTTTGTTTGTTTTGACCAACTATCATCTATAATAAGATTACATTTGTGTATTTTATCAAGCATTGAACGAACGGTGTGTGCTTTCTTTTTGTCTAATCCTACTTCTTTTCAGCGGTATTATACTGATGTTCTAATCTGTTCCGAGCCAAAAAATGTTATTATCATTTTGACTCATAAATTATTCTTCAACAACAACACTATGATTGAGATGAAAGAGTTTAAGGGATTTGTTGATGATTGACAATCACAGTAACACTGCGATGAGGATGAAATAATTTGAGGATTTTATTTATAGTTGATGAAGCTTTATGGAATCAAGAAAACAAACTGTTGTTCTCTTTGACAGCTGCTGCTTCAAAAACACGCAGAAATGCTGACATCCTGTCGACGCTTGTCAACATTTATGGCAGCAAGGAACTGTGCTTTAATGAGTACCGTGCCCTGCTTGCTGACCGCATCTTGAGCCAGTACCATTGCGATGTGGAGCGAGAGCTACGTTACTTGGAGCTGTTGAAACTGCGTTTTGGCGAAGCCCCACTGCACTTCTGTGAGGTCATGCTCCGTGATGTTACGGAGTCACGCCGTGTGAATGCACGGATACAGGACTCCCGCAAGGGAAGTGCAACAGGAAATGTGAGTCTTTGATTCTGATCTTCTCGTCACTTTGTAGGGTTTTTTGATTTAGTAAGAGTTTTACGGCACTTGCAACACAATGAGGTCATTTAAGTGTCAAAGATTAGAGGTGTTACAAGACAGTAACAAACCCTAAAAAGGAGAAATAAGAACAATAGATATTTGATAAGAATACTGCAGTATACGATAGCCATAGCTCAAAAACAGAGAGTTACATACCCCCAGTGGGTCGGGGGGATATAAATAGACCCACTGCTTCGTCTGCAGAAGGTGCAACCCCCTCAAAGGCGGAGTGTCGCACACGGACCCCAACCCTCTGGGTTCCGTGAGCGACACTCACTTTGGTGTATCGTCCTCTTCTCCTTCCTTCTTTCTTTCTTCTTCTATCTTTTCTTCCACCGCTGACCTCAAGTGCAGTAAAAAGAAAGGTCACCCATCCAACAGAAACCGGGCACCTGGCGGTTGAGGTGAGATCAGTCTACGGACTGTCCCTCACCAACACACCTCTTTGGCCCAGGTTTTCAT